TTTCATTTTAGAATGTTGATGTGCTAAGGACAGCAGATTCTTTGTCAGGTACTGGTACATATATATAAGAGGTAAACTCATAACCCTTCTTCAACTTGTGTTTTCAGAACCAAATTTTTTAAAACGAGCTACATTTGGGGAATTATTTCCAGCTATCAACAGACATGCTGGACATACCCAACCATACCAAAACATTTCCCAGTTAAGCAGCCAGCTAATCAAGACATTTTCTGAGTTAAATTATCAGCCAGCTCTATACATTGTGAAGCTTGTTTCCAGACAATAAACTTAAGAACTTCTCCAGGTGTCATGTGCTATGCATTGATACCTCTTATGTAAAATATTTTAAATTGGCTTAGATTTTTTTGAGTAAATTCTAGCCTGGAGTGCAGTTGCATCCAAGCCAATATTCTTGGGATATTTTTGCTAGGAATAAAAGATTCCAGTAATTGTGCCTAATGGATTGTGTGCTCTGAACTAATAGCTATTCAAGTTACTTGATATCTTAAGGGAAGTCTCTTTCAGGAACTCCAGGTAACTATGAAGATTTATATACTCAAATATCTGGCGGTTCTCATCCGGTATTAGGAGCACTTTAAATCTTTATTTGAAGGATACACAAGATATATATGAAAGGTAATTTCTCCTTTTGAAGAATTCATGAATTATCATACTTCTAATTGCAAAGAGAAGACATCCTGCTTGCCAAAAACTTTTACCCTAACTGCAAAACTTAATTGCCCCTTCTGATGAAGCAGTCATCGAGTAATTTATTTATGGTGGCAATATAACATACCTTGTATAAAATTTTTTTTAAAAGACCAAATATATTCTAAAAACTTCAAAAGCAAATTCTGGTGCAAAATTTATGTCTCAAGTATAAAGCAATAGAACTGTGGTATCAAATATATTCACTGCAAATACATTTTGGGGAGCTTTGAATTTGAGGTTGATATTATGAAGGTTCTTGCTATAGTGACAGACCTATATCCATAAGTTTAGTAAAAACCAAAGGAAAAACATAAGGTGATACAAAAGTCAAGAGAAGTTTCAACAATACTTAAAATACTTATACAGTTATTTTTAGCTGCATTAAATTTTCTAGTAATCAGCATTCTTTCTCTTACAAATCCCCTACATGAGCTATTCTAATTTCATATATCTGACAAATACATAAGTTAATGTTTCATTATGTTAATTTTCTGTCACTAGCATGATTTGACAAAAGTTTAAACCATTACTCTGCCACCACACATTACTAATTAAGACATTAAAGAATCAACTCTCATAGCCAAATGTTCTAAAGAGCTTGACAGTTCCCTCCCAGTTTTCCAAACTTTTAAAAATCTTCTTGATTGCTATTTAAATACATTAACTTGTAAAGCAATTGTTATAGTGAAAATATAATCTACTACAGATATAAAAACAATCACATTTGCAGATTAAACCTATATAATTACCCAAAAAGGCTGATAATCTAAATTGATTTGCTGAATGTTCACATGAATAAAAATAGATCAGTGCCTCATTTTTTACTCATTAGGTTTTATGTGAGAAAAACTGGATAACAAGTGATGGTCAGAAAACATTTTGAGCAACTTGACTGATTCGTTGAAGAATATCTACACTTGCCACCATTTTTACTTTTTATGTTAAACCAAAATCTGATTAACAAGATATCCATCAGCCTTTAGGTTTGAGTCACAAAGCTTTCTAGAACCAAAGTAAACTATCCATTTTCTAAGACCAAAGGCCTTCTGCAAATTATATCCTTCAAATAAAACATTTAAAACCACCAGAAAGTATTAAAAAATTAACTCTAATCATAAATACAAATAAATTAAAATTCACTCCATTGATTTTACTTCTATGGAACTTGGAAATCAAAGCTTAAGAACTTTATATGCTCAAATATAATGATTCTGAGACCATGCATTTTCACTTGCTGAAGATTATGTCCTAAATTTCTCCAATTAAATGCTTCTTAAAATTTATAATAAATTGTCTGGCAAAGTAAGATTATTTTCATGTCCAAATCTATGTAACTATTTGAATGGCCCTTACATTTTAGATGGCATCAATCTTTTATAAAATATTCAGTTTTATGTAATATGTAGTTTGCATTGCATGATGCACGGGGAATAAAATAATTACCATGTCTCCCGTGTAAGTGCAAGTCATAATTTTAGTTTGCAAAATTAAATAAACTGCTGCATTACAGGCTCACAACATGCAGAGTGCTGTCCTCGGCATGAAAACATCATGGTGTCTAGACAGTTGCAGCCCCGCCTTCTTCAGGCTTTGTAGTTTGCATTTTCTAAAAGTTTTTACGCTTCATCTTTGAACTCTTGTTTGCATCTTGTGTATCTCTACAACTCTCAAATATCCATCTACCATGAGAACAACTACTAAACCCTATCATGGGGGTCAGTCTCAGGTGACTTAATAAGAGTAAACAATAATAGAAGACATAGAATAGAAGAAAAGTTCAGTAAACAAAATTTATCCAAATTTTATTATCTCAAATCTCTGATATACCTTTCAGAAATTTGCATTTTCTTTCTGCTGATAAAGCTGTATTTGTGTTCAAGTAGTTCTTCTCATTAAGTAATAAATAAATATATATATATATATATATATATATGGCTTGCTAATATATTAGTCAATTTTCTCTTTTGTATTCTATAACAAATTTTATATATATGTGTCTGAGTGTGTGTCTATGTGTGTGTGTAACATTTTCTATGCCAAGTTAAGAAATAATGGAAAGAAAACTTTCATAGTGTCCATATATTTATATCACAGTGCTTTCACTTGTGAGATAACTGTCTTATCAGCAATCATATTATCTATAAAAGAATGTCACTGATTTAAAAAATTTGATTTTTGTTTATGGAAGTGGGAATACTTGAATTGATATGGAACCTGATAAATTAAATGTATAAGCTCAGTAATATAACACATGTGCACATGTAGTTTTACCTTTGAATGATGAAAAGACAAGACTTCACATACAGCAGTGCAAAATACCAAAAGAACTATTAAATCTGTTTAAATAATCCATTAATTACTTAATTTGAAATACTCATAATTCTATATTCTTGATCATTTTTGTAGTATGATTTTTTTTTAATTTTGAGTCAGAAAAATACAAGTCTGTAGAGAGATGCAATCAATGATTAATGCACCTCTCCTGGGTACCCTCATTATTAGCACCTTTGCCAAAATGCACACATTCATAATAAAGCGTCTTCCTTTTTCTCACTATCACTTTTTGCATAGAAACGTCGTAGTAAAATATGTGTGTACCCACTTTCTTGAATGGCAGCTAGTTGTATGGGTAGAATATATGGGAGAGTTCCAAAATCAATGTAATGAACGTGGAAAATGTACATTTTTAACAGAAAATCACCAGGTTACATGATGCAAAGTTTTATTGCGCTGTCATTTGGTCTACCAATGACAAGACTCTTGAGTTTCTCTAAGAAATTCAAAACAAACAAAAACTTAATACACATTTTGCTAGAAACACAATTTATTTTACAAAACCATAAGCTTTTTGACAGTAATTTTTACATATTTTGATGCCATTTAAATAAATGGAAAGAAATACCATAATAATAGTACTATGGGAAATTCACTTACAAAAATAATTTCAAGGAAATGTCTTTTCTAGAACATATTTCAATAAATTGCTACCATTAAAGCACAAGCCTACTTTTGTTACCTATTTTTAACTTTTTTAGATAGTGAAACAACTTTATTGTGTTACATATAATAAAATATTTATTTCATAAATACCTTATTATGATGTGCTATGAAGTTATTAGCAAATAAAACTGATTTGGGGGGTTTATAATACGTATTATTGCTGTTTCAGTTTTTTAAGGAAATTTAGTCAACTAAATCATCAGTGTATTCAGAATGGGTTGAAATTTTAAAGTAGACACTTGTACTAAAATAGTACATGGAGATTTGATTTTAAAGTTGTATCACTATAATGTCATACAGACACTTTTAAAATAATTATATCATTTCCCACCATGTAATTGTATCCTTTTAAATTAACACTAAGCAAATTATAACAAGTACAAACAGGCAAGATTGAGCAAACAGTGGTGCAAAAGCCCCTATGCCAAAACGTATACGCTAAAGAAGAGCCTATCTCTAAAATTATCTTCACTGTTTTGCCATAAAACTGTCACATTTGAGATGAAAATAATAAGACTGAAACACATAGGCTGGCCCAGGAAAAAAAAATCTCTGAATGTGCGTGTGCCTCTGTGTGTGCATGTGTGTGTGTGTGTGCGTGAACTCATTTAAAGTACATGTATTCATACTACAGGCATCACAGACTTAAAGTAGCAAATAAAATCAAAGTAATAAAGACACCTGCTTGAATTTTTTTTCAGTGTCTAAAACCAGCTAAAGTTCTTGAAGCTCTTTAGAAGAAAGAGATCATAGAGTTTCTCCACAAAATATTTTCCCTTGGGGACTTTCCAGTTTTCAGAAATGCCTCACTGTCGGGGAACTGAAGCATTGTTTCCGGATTGTATCAGCAGCTGTGTGTTTCATTCTAGTATGAGGCTATACATTCTAGTTACCCCTTCAGCAAACGTTTAACCTTCCTATAATATTCTAAAGCGCTGTGTGAACCAAGTAGAACTTGCCATTCTATTACCCTCACGCATTCCAGGTTGCAAAAAGAGAAATAGTTGATGTCAGTTGTGAAATCCAATGGCGCCAAAGAGAAAAGGGAATAAAATAATCATTCGTTACTTTTTGCTATCCTTGGGCTGGCTACTGCTCTTACCAAAACTGGAGCAGTACCCTTATCAGCTGAGTATTCCTAGGAGACCTAACTAAACTTAACTCCTCAGGGCTCTGCACCCCAAAAGCAGTTTCCATCCGAACAGGACAGCCAAACACCACTTTCATAGCTAAGGTGCTGAGTACCAGCAGCATCACCCACTTCCCCACAAGCGCTTACTTGACTTTACCTGTTTTTATGCCGAGTCTTTAACAAGTTTCTTCCAAAAGGAGCCATAGTCCGTCCGGCAAGCAAGTGACAAGGCCAGTACCTCAAAGTGATCCCGGGCTGGGGCTGAGGCTCTGGATTTCTCTGCTGAAGGGAGGAGTGTTGGAAGCTGCTCCTGGCCTCCTCAGATCTCCCTGGCTTTCAGCTCATTAGTAGCCGGCTGAGAGAGTTGCTGGAAGTTGTGCAACTGCTGCTTAACTTTGAACTGCGGGATTGTTGTGGCTGCTGAGCCTTTGGAGACCTGCCCAGCTTCAGCCTCCAAGAAGGCGTTCGGGAGCAGGAAAGAAAAAAAAGGGGGGGGGGGCAGAGCGGAAGGGAGGGGGACTGTATTGTGCTCTGTAGTTATTTGCAGACTAGCTAGAACTTTAAGAGCTGCCAACCCACAGGCATGGTAATACCCATGGGATGGAAATTTCACTCTCCTTGGAACACCCCGCCCCCCCCCAATTTCACTCTCCTTGGAACACCCCGCCCCCCCCCGCCCCACGCCGCCCTCCACACCCAGCCACACAAGGCGAACACACATAAAGGGTTTAAAAATAAATACTCCCACCGCCCAGCCAGCTCCGGACTGTGAAATGTAATCCGATCGTGGAAAGCAGGAGTGAAGGCCCAAAACCCTTTATCTACCGATTGGACTCAGAAATCCCCTGCCCCGGGTGCCCGGAGTGCAGGAATGGCAGAGCTGGACACTGCATCCAGGGGACCCGCTCGGAACCCGTGGGATTTGCAGCCCCTGACTTCTTGATATCAAGAGCTTCCTCAACGCCACTCCTGCAGTCTCAAGCTCCCTTGCCAGAAGTTGACGACCAAAGGGCTCCAGGGCTGAGTGCTCACAGGATTAGCACAGAATCGGCTGTGGATTTCTGTGGGACTGTGATTCCTGCAGTGTTTGCGATTACTCGGACCCTGCCTCACGCTCCGGCAGTCCCCGGGCCTTTGGGCCCCAGGAGCTACAGAGTAAGGGGAGCCCTGTGCTCCCGGCCACCACTGGGAAATGGGGACTTGCCGCGACCAGGCCCCGGGTCGCAGGGCAGCTCTCACCCTGCAGTGCAAGAGGGCTCGGGAGGCCGCAGCACAGCGGGACACAGAGCCTTGAAAGAGAGGTCTAGGAAAGGGTGGAGTCGGTCAGCGATAGTTCCCTAACCCCACACCCCTTAAGCCCTCTCCACTCCCTCCCGCCCTGCTTCTTGTCCTGGACTTGGGTGGCTAAGCCAAGGAAGGAGGGAAAAGAAACCAACAGCTGCGGTTCACCGAGGCACACTTCAGGTTGCGGGGGCTCTGAGTCCTAAACCTCACAAGAAGGGCAGCACTGGCCTCAGGGCTCCCCCACTCCCCAGGAGCAGGAAGCAGGGATCCCGAAGGGGTACAGATGGTTACAGGCATTGCCACATGCGGAATTCTACAGAGTTCGGGAGAACTAAGTTTTCTCTGCTTATAATGAGTCTAGATCTTTCTAGTCTATATTCTATATTCTAGAGTCCATAGTCTATTCTATATTCTTCATTCTATATTCTATATATGTGTGCTGTTATTATTTAAAAATTCATTCTCTTATTTATAATTTTATATGTTACTTGTGACATGTATACTCAAATTATAAATTTTTAAAAATAACAAGAGCCAATTACATTTTCATGTGCTTTTTCTTTTTTTTTTTTTTTTTTTTTTTTTTTTTTTTTTTTTTTTTTTTTTTTTTTTTTGGTCTTTTTTTGAGACAGGGTTTCCCTATGCAGTTGAGGCTGCCCTTGAGCTGACTTTGTAGCCCAGGCTGGCCCCGAACTCACAATGATCCTCCTGCTTCAGCCTCCCCAGTGTTGGAGTTACAGACGTGCACCACCATGCCCTGCTTGACATTTTTATATTCTTGAGGGATAATATAATTCAAGAATACAGATCCACTTCAAAAGAGTCCATGGTCAATGGTACCAGAGAAAACCTTTACAATAACAAACAGAGAAATGGCACATATTGGTAAACCTATAAGGAAATCAATAAACAAACATACACCCTTTATACACTTTGCATGATGTACATGAAACAAAAACTACATAATTGTATTACTTCTTTTTCTGATCTTGATTTTATTTTACTAGCTCAACACCCACTTACACCCACATGCACAAAATGATTTGAACTATTATGGAAATTTGCCCAGTTACTCTAAATAATTCAAATATTATCCCCTAAAGCTAAACTATTTCTTGTTAATAAAGTTACAGTCAACTTGCAAAGAATATTGTCTTTTCAAGTAACCCTGACTTTCCTATAGTTTCAGTACTCTACTCATATTAACATTAATTATATATGCAGGTATGTTGCATTTTTAATAAAATACTTTTAATGGAGAAAGGAAACAACATTACATCTTTATTAGCATAATCTTAGGTTGAATTTCAAGTTATCACAGATGAGTCTTATTTAGGATGTTGTAATTCCCTCATATAAAATGTCCTATTAATATATTTCAAGACGAGCTCTTTGATGTGTAAGAGTTAAACAAACAAGGTTTGTATAAATTAAATATATGCAACTTTATTATATATATATATTATGCTTCAATAAGGCTGAGCAAAAACAGAAAAGTTTATTGTCCCTCAGATATTAAAAACTAAAAGAAATAATGTGTGAACATTAACATTTAAATAGAAAAATAAGCAAATGGCTACTTTAAAAGCAGATAACAAAGCATGCTATAAAATATTATACTCACTAGTCACTATAAATGATAAAGCTAAATTGAAATAAGATTTTATTTTGAATCTATCAGATGGATTAATTTTTTAGAAGATTATGCTCATCTCTGTCAGTATGACAGCTAGGGAATAATACTGTGTCTGACAGGTATAATTTGACATATCATTCTTGGAAATGAATTTGGCTATGTTCAGCAATATCTTTCTAAATATTCAAACCTTTTAAAACTTTTATCTAAGGTTTTTTGTAAGAAGTTTCCCCCAATGAAATAATTAGATTCATTAAAAGTCTTACATCCAATATTAATAAATTGATTACATTGGATGTAATCAATTTATTAATATTGGATGAATTATTAATTTATTATTATTTTTTATTAATTGGATATAATCAATTTATTAATATTGGATGAATTATAA